TGGGCGATTTTTTTGCCTCCCCACAAATCGACCCGGCCTAATGTACGTATAGGTATGTAATACAAAAAATATAAAAAACATGTGCTTTCCCAGAATAAAGATTACTTTAAAAAGATCAACGCGATTCATATGATTAAGAGTTCTTTGAACTCAGTACATTGAATTAAGGCTGTCAACTTCGATTTTCAACATCAATTAAGCAATAACCTTGCGGATCTGTTACAATATTCTGTGATTGATAAGAGCAAAAGCCATTAAACAACCAGCTGCAGAACATTTCGCGCCAATCAAAATACATAGTACAATGTAAACAATCACAGTGAATATTTCAATAGCAAAGAGCGAAGTCGTAGCTGCAGTAAAATAATTATTTCATCTTATGTGAGTGCCAACAAGTGTTATAGTTCCAGCTAAAGCGTACTGCCATACCTAAACAAAAACGTTGGGCGGAGCGTTTTCTGGCGCCTAGCGTTACCGCCGAAGTGCAATCCTAAACAAAAGTAAAAGAAATAACACAAACAACAAGCATAGGTTTGTTTGTGTGAAATGCGAAAAGGACAGTTTCGCCGTTTTCTGTAGCCAACTTCACTTCCTAACGCCCTGTCAAAATCGGATTATCCAATCGCTCAGCGTTGACGCCGCGTTATTTCGGTATGCTTCATACAAATTGTATGAGTATGAGAATTTTTTTTGACGGCCAGACAACGCTGATGCTTTTGTTTAGGTGTGGCAGTTAGAATCCAGCTCTCAAGAAAAATCACAAGAAATATTTTTCATTATTTCGATTGCTTGAAAAAGCACTTTGCTTTTCCTGTAAATTTTCTTAAAGAAATATCTATGCGAACCAAGACATATCAAAGAGGTAGCAGCATTAGAGCAAAAACAACATTTGCGTGTATTTTGTTGTTGCTTCCGGTATCGAAAGTGTCAAAAACGGTTCTGATATTCGAAAAAATAAAAAATTGCAATTGGAAAAAATGAAAATTGTTGCAACTTTCTTTCTTAGTACAGTTGTTTGCTTCTCGAAGCATTGATCTATCTTTTGCAAGGCCCAGTAATCGCGGGTTGGTTTCACATACAAATAGATTTTAACAATTTGGAATTTTTGTGAGAAGAAATTAAAAATATTTGACATTTTCGAGACTAAATAGTTTGAAAAAAAAAAAATTAAATCAGCTGCTATACTGATACTACCTGTTCAATATGCCTTGATCCCAATAATTTTTTCTTGACAGCTGCAAACTGACTCAGTACAAACTAATTTATGTAAGAAGTTTTGATAAAAGAAAATTTCTTTTCCATTTCTTGTACGTCATTTTATATGAATTTTTCGTTTTTCTTGACAGCTGGAAACAGCTCTTAAAAGTGAAGTGACGGCGTAATTAAAATTGTGTTTATGGTTTAGATTTGTTTAAACTCTTTTCCTACCGCAGTAAAAACCAAACCCTGCATCAGCATCGTCAAAAATGTTGGAGCTGGATAAAATTTTGGAAAAATGCGGCGATTGTCATCGCTTGCAGGCGATTATGTTGCTGCTATTTTGCATCATCAATTTGCTATCGGCGCTGCATTACTACTCACAAACAATCATAAGCTTCGTGCCGAAATATTGGTGAGTCACATTACAATCAGTGTTGCCGAAAGTACGAGGATAAGAGTTTTTTAGTACTATTTTGTATTCATTGTTTTTTACTGCTATTTTATCATCCATACTCCCGTACTCCCCAATGACCGATTATACTACTATTTAACGATAGTTAACTTTTTAACCAACTTCAAAAAACGGGATGAAGGGTGCTTGAAATAATTTGCGGTCACATTATTCATTCCCAGTCTTGGTAAAGCTTAAGCCATATCACAGCATTATTTAAAACTTGCGACTGCAGTGATGAAATTAAATTGGGTATAAAACTCTTTTCAACTCTTGTAAGAAAAGCTCCTTTGTTGGTTCGAACGCACAACACGTGCAGAAACAGCATTTAAGGTATAATTACGCATACTTCAAATAACTTCGCACTGGTAACACTGCAACTGAAATGCCATTTAAGAAAATGTGAGAAATAATCTAAACTCAACAGAACATAAGGTTCAAATGTATTCCAACCGTAATCAGCGGTTTATGTCTCGTGAAGTGACCACCTAGGAATTCTAAAATTGGTCTGCTATCCTACTAGCTCAATGGAGTCGACCCTCGAAGCCTCCCTGAATAAGCCTTGCTTAGTTCTGTAACTGAGTGCGGGCTATGTGCGGGTCCTTTTCAACCAAATGTGCAGGAACTCACGTGTGGCCTGTGTAAAAAAAAGTTTGTTGTTTGTATTTTAATGAGACTTCGTACAAGTGGGGGTTATGCTAGCTTATTACAAATCTTTAGTCAAATTTGGAAAATTCAAAATTACGGATGATTTAAAAAAAAAAAACTGAAAATCAAAAAATGCTATGGGAGAAGCTAAAATTCAAAGCAGATAACCTGAACCAGGGAGTTTTGGTAATGCATAGTACTGGTGAAAATACAGCCAGAATACAATTAGAAACTTTAAAATCATCTTAGAATGTATATCGTGTCTATTATCTAGTTAAATAATGAGATCCATTTTAAGGCGTTTTGTTTTGAAACTGCTGTAATCTACATCAAAACCTATAAGGCACAGTCCTCCGCCAGTAGGCTAGCAGCTGAAGAGGGTTATGAAGCCTGAAATAAAGACTATAAAAATGGCTGACTCCGACACAGCAGAAAATTTAATAGATCTGAGAACATATCAGATATTTTTATAGAGCAATGGATTCAACAGATCCCGTAGCTTCACTTGAAGTTTCAAATACCAGGGAGACTAATCAAGTTGGCTCAGATGACAGTTATTCCTTCGAACCTGAAAATAAAGAGGAATCAGAAAATGAATTCCTCGATGTGGAACTAACAAACAAAAAAAGAAGAAATATGAACTACTAAAAAAAAGTAAAAAAGGGGTATAAATATAGCTCTGCAACCTCCACGTGATGGACCCTTAATACTACATTTATCGTAGGCTAACTGCAGGCGTTATAGTAAAAATTTTGATTCGTTATAAACCAGTTAAAAAAAAACCTTTGCATCAGGTATTATAATAATTCAATATTTTGTCTAATACGCTCGACCGCCATATTCGATTCATTGTTTTGTATTTGGAGAAACTAATCAGTTTAAGGTTAAAATTACCCGGATCTTAAAGATTCGCGTTCTTTTGAAGAAAAATAAATGATATTTTCTACAAAGAGGCGGAACGTGAATTAAAAATAATTTCAATAAAAATAAATAATTAATCAATTTTTTTGAAACTTGGGCCAAGTGTGCCTCTATTTATCTTTAATTAGATAGTCCATTCAATCAATTTCAAAACTTTATTTTGGGCAACTTTCGTTACTTTTGATTATCTGCTGGCCCATAATCCAGTGGAGAAAACGAATGCGGTTTAGGGAAAATCAGTCTAGAGGTCTAAATTTTCATCCGATATGTTTTATGTTTTTTTTTTATAAATAAAAGAGCTTTTGAAATTCCTTACCAATCGGTAAAAGCCAATTTTTGAAAAAGAGTTGTATACAAAATTTATTTAAATTAGTAAACAATATGTCGTTAATAATTTGGTGTTATAAAGTAAAGGTAAATTGTTTTTAGTTTGTTATAAACATTTCATACGACCACCTTCATTTATCCCACTGTACAACCCATCGCGACGCGTCGTTCTGGTGAACTCGTATGAGCAAATTCAAATCGGCTCAAATCGAAGTCGTTTATTTCCATACGAAACGCAACGTCATCCCAATACTGCATATCGTTTTTCAGTTCGTAAAATGTGCTTCTCATCCATTATCGAGTTAATCGCCGCACAGTGATCTGAAATCAAAAAAATTTTTAAAAATCAATTTGAAACTTGCACCCTGCATACCTAAAATTTTTCTGAAAAAAAAAATAATTTTGGAAGAATTTTTTTTTAAACATATTAAATTTTTTTGTGCGATTTTTTCTCCTTTTGAGGGAACGGAAACAGGACCTCAATTTTCATATACATAATTGCTACTTTCTCTGCATTTTGCACAAACAAAATTTAGTATAAACAAATAAAATTTCAAGAATGGTGCTCGAGAAACCTCTTTAATTTAAATTGCATCAGATTTTATTAAAAAAATTCATTAAATCGGTCAAGAATTATTGGGTGTACGCTATATTGAAACCTACNAGCAGTCGGACTCATCATGCCATCCACATCGGTTGGCAGCTGAGGATGATGATTTGGCGCCAACGAATTTTTCAGCAGTGTGCCAGCACTTTGACTATGAATTGTATATGGGTTATCAGAGCTTCACTAGCGAACTGAATTGGATTTGTGATCGCGCGTGGCAAGCAACGCTGGGACAGTCGATGTTTTTCGTTGGCTCAGTGGTGGGCAGCCTGCTCTTTGGTTTTCTGGCAGACAGTTTGGGTAAGCTAAACACACATTTTTTATATACTTCTTTTTTATGTTCAAAATTTCATTGCATATGTATTTCTTTCTTATCTCCTCAGGTCGCCTACCCATCTTGATTGTTGCAAATATTGTGGCCATGGTTGGAAATTCTCTGACGGTATTTGGCACAACGCTGCCAACATTTTCGCTATTTCGCTTCTTATCTGGCATGGCGACAGATAGCAACTTTGTTATGATGTATATTTTGGGTGAGTGTGGAAGAGAGCAATATCACGAACTTAACTTGAAATCACAAAAAATTGGATTTTTCTAAAAAGATAGTTTTGAAAGGGTTTCAACTATTCCTAAATTATTTTTAACGAGGCGAAAATATCGAAAGCGTATCCCCAAAGCACAATCGGTCTGAAACAAGCTAAAACTCTTGTTGTCATGTACCGTTCTTTTCTCGTTTCAGTTTTGATGAAGCTCATTACAGTCCTGATACCATTTGTTAAGTTGCATCAATTTGGAATCATCTCTATTTGTATGTTGTAGGTTTAAAACAATAAACCCTAATTGGGTGCTTTCCGTCCCGCCCACCATAGTCACGTCCGCTAATTTTGTAACGAAATTCCTCCTTCATTGTTTCGTTGTATAGGCTCTAAGACACGGCCTTGTTCATATATTGCTGCGATACCTAGTGTCACTTTATCAAAACTGCTAATTTATCCAATCGATCCTTTTGAAATCGATTAACCAATTACGCTCTGAAAGGAACATGTTGGCGCTGAAATTTCACTGAGTTAGAATTGTGACATTAAGATCAGTAAGTTCCATCCTTACGGCGTTTCAACGCGGATTTGTAAGAAATACGTAGGAAGCATCTTAATTGCAGACTGGGTATAGCGGTAAGTAGTCGTGTCCAAACCGATGCTAGCAGCTGGGGTAGACACCGTGGCCGATCATAAATTGTGTAAATATTTCTCGAGAGCAACGGGCCTACTTTTCTTGCCATTTCGAAATGGATGCGGCTTTCTTTTTCTGGATTATCCCCCAGTAATTGCCTTCATTTTGCTCGCTCTCCAGATGTTTTTTCATAGGATTTCCTCCCTTCCTTCGTATCATATGCGAGCATTCGTTAATTGAGGTATTTACGAATCATGTTACAGATACATATAAACACGTGTATCGAAATTCAACGCAGAATCACTCTTGCCAAAAAGGGCTACTTTGGACTGAGTAGGCAATTCAGAAGTAAAGTCCTCTCTCAACGTACGCAAGCCACACTCTTTTAGTATATGACACAGAAATATGGACAATGACAACAACGGATAGAATGATTTTGCGGAAGATTTACGGGCGTTTGCGCGTTGGCAACGGCGATTACCGCAGACGATGGAATGATGAGCTCTATGAGCTTTACGACGACATGGACATAGTGCAGCGAATTTAAATACAGCGGCTCCGCTGGCTTGACCTTAAAATGGACCTCGACGCTCAAGGTCAAAAAGTATTCAGCTCGGAAGAGGGCGGCTCCCACCGCGATGAAAAGGCCAAGTAGAAAAGGACTTGGCTTCACTTGGCATTTTCAATTGGCGTCAGTTGGCAAAGGAGAGAAATAACTGGCGTGCTTTGTTGAACTTGGCTAAAATCGCTTAGGCGGTTACAGAACCAATTTAATCTCAGTGTCATGATCGATCTTAATCGTAATCTTAATTGTGATCGATCATCACCGCCATCTCCGAGCTTCTTCTGTCGCTTTTTCGTTTGGAACTAGAGCCCAGCTTTTTCGTAACAAAGATATTTGCATTTACTCTTAACCAGGCGAAAAGTGGCCTTAGTGCTGAGCTCACCATGTCTTGGTCGGATTTGGTTTGGGTTCTTCATCGTCAAACGGGCCGTCGATGTCGCCATTCAAAAGTGCTGAGAATTTTTCTCTCCATATCTCAAGTGCACTCTTTGCATCTGTTACCAAATTTCCATCTTCGTCTTGAAACCATTATTTATATTGCTTAATTATTTTCATAAAGAATTTTCGAGTCGTATTCCACTCTGTCAACATCTCAAGCCCTTCCTACTTACATATGTACGTCTTCGTGCTTCTCGTTTCTTCCTTTTGAATATACGTCTCTTATCACTCCTTTTATGAAGGTAACGCTCAGGATAAAGCTATATTAATAACATTTCGGTTCGATATGAGTAATGGGTACTTCCACAGCTTAAGAAAAATTTCTTTAAGTTTTAACTTGCCGAACAGCATTTTTTATTTTTATCCATTTGCTTTGAAATATAAATATTTTTTTACTGTTAATTTAATTGATTAATTTGTTGAATATATTTAAGAAGCATTTGTTTATTATTATCCGTTCAATTTTAACATCAATGTCGCGCATCAACTAACAACTTCTTTAACACATACTAAATGAATAAAAATTCTTGTAATCCCTTCGCAGTAATGGAGTATTTGCGTCCGTCTCTGCGCACAATCGGTCTCAGCATCTGCATCGGGTTTTTCTATTGTCTCGGCTCAATGGCTGCGCCGTGGATTGCTGTACTGTTGCATAGTTGGCGCGGCTTCCTACTCGCCACCTCAGTACCCTTTGCCATTGTGCCGCTCTTCTACTTCATTGTGCCCGAGAGTGTGCAATGGCTGATCTCCAAGCAAAAATACGACAAAGCTGTTAAATGTCTAAAGCGTGTAGCGAAGATCAACGGGCGTGCGGTGGAAGAGTCTGTCTATACGGAATTCATAGATGAATGCAAACGCAGTCAATTGCATACGAAATCTGGACCAAATCTCTTCGGGCTATTTGCAACACCACGCTTGCGGCGTAACACGCTCATTTTGTTTTTCAAATCGTAAGTTTGTTTATTGATTAGAAAAAGACACACAAAAAGACAGATTACATTGCGTGTATGTGTGCATTGTGTTTTTTTTATCGCAGCATGGTCATCACTTTGTGCTACGATGCGGTGTCGCGTAATGTCCAAGGTCTCGGCATATCGCCATTTGTCATGTTCACTTTGAGCGCCACAGCCATATTGCCAGCTTGCATACTGTTGATCGTGTTGCAAGATCGTATCGGCCGCAAAGCGATGGCTTCCATGTCACTGCTGCTAAGTGGAATTTTTATATCGGTCACTGGAGCGATACTCTTCTGCACGGAACGTAGTGGCGGTGAGAAAGGTAATCGCTAATATGTGGTAATAAATCAAGTATTCTCGAATTGATGCTTTTTTAAATTCCAATTTCAGATGTTATACTGGTAGTGGTTTTGTCGGTCATAGGTCGATTTGGTGTCACCGTCGCCTACAATTCGGGCGCTCAATATGCCACTGAGCTGATACCGACTTGTGTGCGCGGCCAAGGTGTGGCAGTGGTGCACGTCATGGGCTATGCGTTTACCTTCTTCAGCTCATATATTTTGTATACTCGGTCCCTCTTCCAACCAATGCCGGAGATAATATTGGGTATACTTTCACTTTTGGGCGCTGGATTGTGTCTGCTCTTGCCGGAGACACTGAATAGGTGAGTAGAGTGAAGATTTTAATACATTACATTTTTTACATGAACAGGCGCATTCCTTTATTAATGAATGTTTCTCATAGTTTTTTTCATATATGTAATACTCCTATATTGGCAGTAAGAGCTAGTACCGTCCGAAAACACTACAGTACAGATATGCCAATAAACACGTGCGAAAGAAAAGGAACACATACGTTTATAAATAAACATGTACACGACACATTTACAAAACCGGCACTCAAGTACACAATACATTGACAAAAACTGTACTAGCTAGGCTGTCTCGCTTTGATTTCGGAATGCTTTCACATTGAGATGTTAGCTTACTATCAATATAGAAGTATTACATATATGACTTAGTTTCATATTGGTTAGGTTAGGTTTAGGTGGTCAAGTTATGACAGGTTCTTTGTTGGATATTTTTGAGCTTGTCCTTTGTGTCACTTTATGGGGTTTAAACAGTAATCACTACCAAATCAATAAAGTACCTAGAACCAATCATCACAAATTTACGAAGACGGCTCCGAGATAGGCTCAACCTCGCTAAAACTGGATATCCGAGTTGAAAGTGTTGACAATATTTTACCTTATAATCTTCGCGGAAACTGTGGAAGTAAGAATTATATGAGATTTTCGTCCCTACTGGGTGATTTCCTCTCCTATAGTGACCAGTAAGTGCTTACACCAAAACCCGATTGCTGTAGTTTTATTATCATAAAATGCTCCAATGTCTTCTCGCGCCTATTTTGTCACCAGGTATAGGTAACCTTGTGTCGCATCATATACTGGTGTCCAGAATTCGATTCTCTTTAACCATAAGTGTCATGCCATTTGCATAGGCAAACAAGCGCCGTCCAACATTGTACGATTACTATCCTGCCTTCTTAGTTCGCTTAGTATGTTTTGAAATTTGATGAATATAAGCCAGAGACCGAAGCTCCCGATGAGAGATATGGCTCCTGCTCTAGGGCCACGCTGTAAGCTCTATCCTCCAGTGTAAGGATGAACTCTTGCAAAATGCGTTTATTATTTTGAGAATTCACTGGAAGGACCCTCGGTATGCTGAACCTCAATCTCCATCACGTCTTTAACCTCCTTGCCGAAATAGCCTTCTGTTAAGTAGGCTCACACTTTTGTAGAAGCATCCGCTCTATCAGCATAGATCTCTACTATTGCTATAGTTAGGCAGTCGAAGTCCTCTAGGCCCGGGTCATCTTCAACCTCTCGTGCATCTAATGTGTAGGTTGTCACTAGGACTTCTCGTTTTAGCGAAGCTGCTCCTCCGACATTTTGCCAAACTTGGGATTCTTTCTTGATTTTCAGAAGGTAGTGTTGTAGTGGAAACATGGAGTATCAATAAATCTTGCGTTCGTCTGCTCGGATTTCGATGCTGGAAAGAGTCCAGTGAAGCTCACAACTTTACTACGCAAAGTAATCAAACCTTTGACTTCGGAATGCAGGGAATTAGCACTCTATCCACCAATTCAAGCCTGGCGTTGTACCACAGGTTTTGAAGCTTCTAGATGGCTCACTTTATCCGTATGAGAGTACCCGTCGCTAATTTTGAAAACTTTGATGCCAATGAACCATTTCGCGCCGTCAAAAGAAAACAAGCGCCGCTTGTTTGGTTCCGTGTGGACAAACTTAATCATTTGGCTCAGATGCTCCCTCTCTACAGGGTACGCTCTTCTCCAGTATTGCCACTGTGAGGTGCTGTCTCGTTACTTCACTGCCAATAGTTGCGATGTGAAAGGCGCTCCGAGCGCGTCTATTTGCTCATGAGCTGACATCGTTACCTCTTTCGGTTAACTTGCTTTAGAAGTTCATGCAGATTTGAAGTTCCTCTTAGGCTTCTTGGTCCCAGAGTTCGCCCGTCTGCGGGTCATTGTCTCTTGAGCTCGTTCTTGACCTAAGATTTTTGTTGCTCGATGAAATTAACAAACTTCTGCGAATCTCTCAGCTTTGCTGTTCTTCTGGCTCATTCTCGTCCCTCGGGGGATGTACTACCGAACCTATCCTCTGAATGGTTCTTAAGTCAGCCTCTTATTGCGATATAACCTTTTTTATCTCTCCTTCACTGTTTCCTAATTTTGGCGGGGAAAGTCAGCAGTCATTTCTTCCGTCGAACTTTCCGCTTCAACGTTCGCAGCCATACTATCGATCTCAGAGTCTATTTGCCGCGCACCGTGATGCCTTTCTTTCGCTTCGTCTTCCTTTTCTTCGTTTTTAGTATTGATTTGTTTTTAGTTGTAGTCATCTTGGTCGTTCGACCACCTGCTCGACTTGGTAAGCGCAGTGGTCAAAACTAAGAGTATGGATGGAAAGTACGAACAAGACAGTCTGTTTCTAAATAAAATTTGACAAAGGATGACGGAATTTCGTTCCAAACTATGTAGTACCTAAAACTAAGTTTTAATTACTTAAACTCAGCTTTCATTGCATCTTTTGTGTTTCTTCTCTTCTTTTCCGTTCTAGAACTCTACCCACTTCTTTGGAGGATGGCGAAAACTTTGGAAAAAACGAACGTTGGTATAATTTTAGCTTTCTGGAGAAACGCACACAATCGGTTGATGTTTTGGCTGCAAATGCGGGGTCACAAAATATACGCGAAAATTCGACGGGCTATTTTTAGAAGAGAAAATAAAATTTTCATTAGTTTTTAAGTGTTAAATTAATATTAAGTGTTAATGAAATTTATTAGTAAACTGCATTAACAATAAGGTCTGATTTGTTTCTGTGTTAAGGGAAAAATATGAAAAAAAAGATTTCCAATTAAGACGCATCAAAATTTATATGCTTAAAGATATACTCAAGAATCTATGTACATATATAGCTAACATATATTTCGTTCATGTGTACATATATATGTATGTATGCACAAACATCTGCTTTGGCTTTAAAATCTTCCCACACTTTGACCAGCTACTCCCATCGCTGTCAAGTCCCTTGAAATTTATTTTTAACATTTGAAATATTTTAATTCCAAGTAAATAACCACTACTTATGTATGTATAAATGTATTTATGTGCAAACATCTTTTTTCAATCACTCATGATTGCAACACTCACCTTGTACGTATGTATGTGTATATGAGCAAGTTGCATGTTGCATGCCACAAGCATTTGCGAATACACATAATCTATTTGCCCATATTTGTCGCCGTGATGGCCACTCATTCATTGACTATGCTAGACATGAAAGCATGTAGCGTCAAATTTGCAACATAAATACATCTATACATACATAAATAGCCAGCGGCGATCAACTTGCAACTTCTGGTTGTACGCGAAAATGACGTTGGATCATAGAGTTGCCGTTATTATAAACGCTTCTTATTCTAACTCAATAAAAAGGAAACAAAGTGCTGTTTACAATTATGTGGCTGCAAAGGCCATTCCTTTTAACTTTGCAGCAGACAAATTGGGAAATTTAGAGCCTTCATGTTTTCAATTGAAATTAATATACTTTGGCAATGTTTTTTTTTAGAATATGTCACTCTATAAACTTCATTAGAACTAGGTGGAATTTTTTTCTTGAATATAAAAAAAAAAAACCTGCAATGAAACTTGTTCAATTAAACCACAAATTAAGAAGTGACCCCTTATGACCCATCGGTCGTCAAGGGTTAAAATTATTTTTTTTGCAATAATGTGGGAAGTCGAATTCCAACTAATAAAAAGATTATGCTTTCTTACATGAGTTTGTTCTGGTCTTGAAATCTTCCGTAAATCGCCTAACTTTCTTATAAAATTTTCTGGCATTTTTCTTTGTCGGCCAACGTTTTTAACTCATTGAACTGTCGTATTTCAACCTGTATTTTTTTATTACGGAAAATACGTCTATACGTGGTATTTCTTACCATATCAGTGGTTCTTTCGGGCTAGCAGAAATCCGACTACTACCTTGGCGGCGGTACTTAATGAACGGGAAATGTGGTTCCACTGCTTGCATATGTCGGCTTGTTAAAGAGTGTTCTGTGATAGAAGGTATGAGAGTGGAGTAGTGAATGCATTGGCCGGCTGCTGTGAAGGCACCTTTTTGACGCTGAGCTTTCCTTTCAATGATTTTTGCTGCACAGAGGCGCCTGTGTATCTTTGCTGCAACAAGATAGTAGTAAGTTCGTGTGGATGTTTGGCCTGCGTTGTAAAAGTACGTCTAAAATACTGAAAGCGTACCTTCCATCTATCACAACAAGATCTATTTGGTTTCTAGGTTTTCGATCTGGAGACAACCAAGTAGTTCTCCATCTTTAACCCGTCTGTGTAGACATTATCCGAGCCAACACTCCTCATGCCCTCGCGCCAGACCTCGACTTCGGCTTCGAAAATCATCCCAAAGTGCAGATCCGGGATAATGTAGTTAACCCGTCCGATTAAATGTGACGCTATACTAATATGCCTGAAGGACTTGAACACAAACTGCATAAAGCCTAGCAGAAGTTCTTGATGCTTTATTCTTGGCCGAAAGGTGTAAAGTACTGCCGTTGGTGTTGCCCTGAGTGCTTCTGCCATGCCGATCATTGATAGCCTAAATACACTTTCCATAGTTTTGGGTAATGTTTTCTTCTCCACTCTGTCCACGATTTAACAATGCCGGCCTAACTATCGCTTTGGAGATCCAGTGAAAAGGAGAAGGCGCTAAGACCCAGATGCAGCCCAGCATCCTTTTGCATGCATAGAATGCCACTGATGCCTTCTTTTCCCGCTTCTCCACATTGAGGCAGAGGCACCACAGCTTGCTATCTAGTGTTATTCGGGGATACTTAGCGCTTCGCTTCAGCAGGAGAGTCCCCCATCCGGTTTAGGATTAGGCCAGTTCGGAACATTATGTTTCCTGGCGAAATGTACCACATCTGTATTTTCTGAGTTATCACATATCACCACCACAGCTATCCAAAGATATATCCACATGTGCTTGGCTCATAAGTGAGCTGAGTGTGAACAGACACTTACCGCTTACCACGACAGAAATATCATCCGAATATGCCGTAAGTTTGGCAGGTCTTCCTTCCATTTTCTTACCTTTTATTTTATGCCTTTGTAAACAGGTTTGGTGGCCTCATGCCACTGCTAATCCAGCTCGATATTACGTCAATTCGTCTAAAATGGCTACCGTAGAGAGATCGCTGAAGGCCCCCGCTATGTTCAGGAAGACCCCCGACGCGAATTCTTCGTTATCCAGGGTATCTACCGATCTTCCCTTCGTATACGGGTGTTGAGCCTTTGAAAGCATGTGCCCGCTACGTTTTGTTTGATGTATACATCTACTAACCTCTCCAGCGTCTTTTGAAGAAACGAAGTTAGTTAGGCAGCCTTAAGCAGCCTTCAAATATATTGCACAGCCAGCCTCTATTCTTCCGTACGCAAAATAATAACTTTTGATCACTTCTATTGATTGGGGATCAAAAACTTTCCCCATATACGTGGATTTATGCACTCGATCGGTCATCCATCGGCCAAGCTTGCCTATATTTAATGTTTCTTTAAGCCCGCTGTGCTTCCTCTTTTGTCGTAGATGTTGATACTGCATCTTCATATAGAGCGTTGTGGGCAAATAAGCTCCTTGGTTGCCACGGCGAGTTCATGTGCGGTTAAAGCTGGTTTTGGAGCCATGTTTTCTTGTTTTTTCCAGGTCTTCCTGTTTTTATTTTGATTCGCTAAGATACCAATCTTCAGTTTCTGTTTGGTCTTTTTTAATGTTTTTCTCCTTTTAGGGCAGTTAGTGTAGGGCAGGTTCTCGAGTAGCTATGCTATTAGCATGGTAGGCAATGCCAAGTGTTTGAAGATGTATACTTCCAACTTCCACCCTGTAGAATCTAGGTTCGATTACTGGTTCCAGCAAAACTAAAACTAGAAACAGATTTTTTTTAAATAGCGGTCGCACCTCGGCACGCAATAGCGAAACCTCGAGTGCACTTCTGCCATGAAAGCGCTCCTTGCAGAAGCTATTTGCCGTTTGAAGTCGGCATAAAACAGTAGGTTCCCATCTGTGTGGCAACATTAAGACGTAAACCAAAAAGAAGTAGACAAAGTGGAGTAGAAACTAGGCCAAACACCCAACAAAAGTTTTACCACCAAATATTTATGTTTTTTCCATGGCAACCCTACACGTGCGCATCTTCAACAAGTTAAGCGAAAAAAATATAATTTTACAGATTTCCCAATGAAATCACGGCTAATAAATTGCCAAAAAGTGAAGCTATACAAAAACAAAAAAGAATCAAAGAAAATTTGCATTGGAAGCTGATATGTACGAAGCAGCGCATATGAGACAACAAATGAAGGCACTAATGGGTTTAAAAATGACTGTTAAACGAAGCTGACGTGTATGAGGATGAGAAGTCATGTACTTAAGATTATGTGATGGATGGACATACACAGCATATGCACCTACATATGTATGTATGTACATATGTAAGTTTGAATGCACAATCGCCGCTGCACAGTAAGTGATATTCTGTTAATATGTAACTAAGCGCATAGCCGAAGTCAAAGTTAGCATTTAAAAGAAGCTACCACTTTGTCTGCAAAGTCGGCTATGGTTGGCATCCAACAATGCCAGTGCCGCGTGCAACAGGTTTCTGTTTAGATTTCATGCATACTTTGTTGCTGTTTTTTGTTTTGTATTTTTTTTTGTAATTCTTCTACCACCACGCTTGTTTTTTCTCAAGCCGGCACTAGCGGCTGTCAAGTTTTGAGGAGTGTTACTGATCCGCAGCGGAGCTTAAGAAGGTATAAGTGTAGCTGCAGTGCTTTCAATGTTCCCAACCAAGCTACACTTGCCACCACAACAGGGCACAGCTCGGTTTGGCTCAATGCTGCGCGCCACTGCATACATACATATTTACTAAATACATATGTATGTAGTTAAGTTCACCGCCGCTTAACTTTGTACCTAACCAGTCGTATCGCAAATTCTGATTTCAAATTCATTTTGACCTTTTTGCACTGTGCGGCCATTTTAGCCAATTGCTTTTAAATAAATGAAGCTCATTGCATTGATTATTGTGGGTATAGCTGTGCTATAAATACAAAGATATGTATATACACACATATACTCATTTGTATATATGTTTTGTTTTATTCAAATAAATTCGTATTTTGTATCTTCTTCATACCCGCAGCTCGCATATCGGTACGTTACTTGTAGCGCCTTCGTGATGGATTTTATTGGTGCAACAGGGCAACAACAACAATCAATAGCAATAACCATAACAAAATATGTTGTCTTAATTTTTCCTCGCTCTTATGCTGTGGCAACGTCGTTACGCCAACTTAACTGTACTTTTAGTGTCGTCGCAGTAATTTTTTGTAGTATAACGGTTACTTCGTTTGATTTTGTGTTTTTTTTTATATCCAGCGCATATTGAAAAAATATTTTCAAACTAAAGTTTTCTCAAAACTCTTTCGTTTGACTCCCCCAGTTTGCTATATCATTTACTTATATAACTTGTGTATAAATTAAATAAATTCGACTTTTAAAGCAGGTGGCAACCCTCTTTGAAGTCCTTAAAATCTAAAATCTTCGTAAATTTCTTTTATTGTGATACATTTTTTAGTTAATTGATTAATTAAATTGAATTAGATTTTTTAACTATGTGGAAACTCTTCTAAATTAAGTCCTTTACAAACCAATTGATGCCAATCTTTTCATAGTTCATTCAATTTATTAAATAATTTTTTTATATTTTTTTTTAGCAGGTGGCAATCCTATTCAAATA